AAAATAGAGCTGTTCTCTGAAACTTCCTAAGCTGAAATTACCTAAAGTGAAGAAGCAATTACCATTAATTCATATGGAAAAATTTTGGGGTGTTCCCAAACCTCAAAATAACCTACCAAATCATAACAAATAATGCATAAAACCTAAAATACATGAACGCAGAGGAAAAGCAGGAGCACAGGAAACAAGGCAAAATGCAGCACAGCTGTTTGCAGACAGCTCAGTTCGGTGGCTTGGTGCTGAGTGGTTCCTGGGAAGGAGCTGGGCTGGCCCCTCTCCCTGCTGGGGCGCCCCTGCCTCCGTAGTGCCTCCTGCAAAACAAACGCTGAGCACTGTTTCCACTTTTAACCCTTTTTTGTAAAAGCAAAAATGCCCTTGGGATTTCTTTCAGTTAGAGTAAAACAGATACTAGCTTAGGTCTGAAAATGAAGTGGCGGAGGTGAACATTCTAAAAACAGGGTTACATGCACATCTGGGTGAGCGAAGCGCTATCTAAGTCTTGCCAAGTGCTGTGCCAGGGTCAGGGTCACTGTTGCAGTCTGCACACCCAGTAGCAGTGTGAGAGTTCCTGATAGTGCTTAATTGTCACCAGTTTGCTGGGTGTGTGATGGGACTTTGTTGTAGGTGGAGTTTATTGAGGTGCTGTGATGGAAGAAGCCATATGGACGTGGGAGTTGTTTTTTATGCGCTTAAGGAAACTTGGTGTCGTAATTGTGTTGTACTTATTTACAAATAAAAGGTTTTCGACATTTAATTATTAGTTGATGTTATGAAGCTTTAGCTGAGTTGAGATAAAAGATGGTTAAAATTGAAAGAAGTGTACTAGAAATTATTTTTCTGGAAATGTGTTTGGAAGATGCGAGGTTTAATTTTTCTTGGCATTATCTTTATCACACGGTGACATTTTTCTTAACCTTGGTGAATGACATGAGGCCATTTTCCTGCAAACCGTCTAACTCAGGGGTCGGCAAACTTTTGAGATGGAAGAGCCGCCAGGGGTCAGCAAACTGCGGCTCGCGAGCCACATGCGGCTCTTTGGGTACGTACATGTGGCTCTGAAGTAAAATTGAAAATGAAAATAAAACTATCATAGTTTCATTTACACAATTTTTAAAGGATATTATTCACATAATGGTGATTATGTAAAAATATATTTGTGGCTCTCAAATAATTTTTAAATTGTGAGGGACAGGATTGGCTCTTCCAGGGGTCGGCAAACTTTTGAGACGGAACGTACCCAAAGAGCCGCCAACATGTGGCTGGCGAGCCGCAGTTTGCTGACCCCTGGTCTAACTGATTACTTCTATAAACGTAGCCGTGCTGCCCTCAGAGCATGGAGGTGGACATCTGACTATTCGATGAAGACTAGACACCCCACATCCACTTGGGTCCGGTTTTATCGTGAAATGAGTTTGCTGAAGACTTATGTAAAAACTGGTTTTGAGCCATTTGGGTTTCAGAGT